ACACACACACACACACACACACACACACACACACACACACACACACACACACACACTGCTGAGCCAACACAAAAGGAAGAAAATCTACAAAGGACAAAATAAAGGGGCAGCAAGAACCCTGGAAAGTGGGCGGTGTCGAAGCCACCCCCTGCCCTGAGTTTCTGTTGACAGTTCCATGGCTTGGGGTTTGTGATGTCAGGCCTAAAACCCTACAAAAATAACCTGTTAGGATGCCTCACCCAAACCTGCCCATCCCGGGAGCTACATTCTCAAGGTAAGAAATAAACCCCCACGGAGCAAAACAGAGCAAGGAAACACCTGCATTTGGATTTGATTGTGGGTGTGAAGGAATCTTCCCTGAGAACTCAACCACAAGGCAGGCCTCCAGGGACTCTGCTGTCTGAGTTGACATGGCACCACTGCCTTGAGATGATCTGCAGAAAGACCAGGAAATCCTCTTGGGGGGAACAAAACCCCAGCTGAGAACTCAAGACTGACTATCCCACAACTTACTAGGAAAATGAGCAACTTTACCTTATTTTCAAATTGTTTTTTTTTTTAACCACACAGTGGGGCCGGTGCAGGTACCAAGTGCAACAATCTACCCCAGGACGCACGTGGTGGAAGGGGAGCACTCACTCTCACAGGCTGGGCTCTGCCCCACAGGGGTGTAGTAGTGTGGTGTGCCCACACAGGTACAAACACACTAGACAGACAGACAAACAGAGGTAACAGAAATTAAAAATAAATAACCAGCCACACAGTATCGACTACAAGGCCGTAGAACAATAGGCAGAAAACTCCACAGGTCACAAAAGCAGATCACCAGGGGCTCAGGGGTTACATTTGGGAAACTGAGGCAATACCACCGGTCCACCTTTGCCTGTTTCCTCCGGTTTCTTGGTATGAACCAGCAGTGCCCATTCTCAGCTCCTGACTTGTTCTTCATGGGCCATATTTCTGGTTTCCTTCTTTTTCCCAAGGTCTACAAGCACATCTTTCCCCTGCACGTTAAGAAGGAAACAAACAAACAAACAAACAAACAAACTCCCGACATCTTGCCCCACCACTCTCCCAGCTGAAGTTCTTGCAAGCACAATCATTGGGACTTCCTGCAGTCCACTGTGCCCTCCCCAACCCTTCTAAAAAGGCCCTAACCCAGGCTGTAGAGACCCCAGGTCACCAAACGCATGAACTGTTACTTACCGGCTCTTCCTGAGGCATTATACAATGTGAGTCCCCTCCTTCCAGAAAGTCTCCTGACTCGCTCTCAGGGGAACTGCTTCCTTCTGAGTTCTCTCTTACGTCTTTAGTCATTTCTTCCCAGGCTCCATAAGTGTTTACTATAGACGGTATGGATGTCACCATCTTGGTTTCTTCTCCCGTAACCAGGATAAAATACCCTGATGACTGCAACTGAAGGGTTTCTTTTGGCTCTCAGTTTGGGGGTGCAGTCATCACGACTCAGAAGTAATGGCAGCAGGCGCTTGAGGCAGCTTGTCTCGTCACACCCAGAGTCAGGAAACAGAGTGATGACTACCGGTGCTCGGTTCATTTTCTCCAATGTGTACAGTCCAGGGCCCGTGCGTAGCGAATGGTCCTGCCCAGGGTTAGGTTTTCTTCCATCAGTTAACCTGGGAAAGACAATCCCTCAAAGGCATGCCCAGAGCCCAGAACACCCCTCACAGTAGTTGTCTCCTGGATGATCCCAGATCGTGTCAAGTTGATGTAACAGGGATCATCACATCCCTCAAGATTCACTTGGAAAGGCTTGTTCCCCTGCTTGGTGCAATTGGGAGGTGGAGTTTATTGAGGGGTCTTCAGGTCTTCCTGGAAAGAGATAATGGCACCTCCAGTCTCTTCCTTCCTATCTTTTCCTTGAGTGAAGTAGGAGATTTTGCTCCGCCATAGGCTTTCACCAAGACATGCTTCACCACAGGCCCAAAGCCCTGGGACCAATTGTTCAAGGAACATCAACACTGTTAGACAAAATAAACTTGTTTTTATTAGCTGCTTCCCTCGGGCATCTGGTGTGGTGGTGGAAAGCTGACTGGAAGTGCCTCTCCTGCCCACTCAGGATGCTGTTCTTAAGTCCCTGACCTCAGCACTTGGCACGGTCTGCACAGGCACAGCCTCCATTCTCCCAGATAAAGCAGCCATCTGTCTGGGGGAATCATGCATGTCTGGGGACTGAGGGAAACTGTCTGGAGGGAACTGCAGCATTAACTGTAGCTCTGAGGGGTCTGACGCTGGATCCCCCATTCCCAGCTGTACCTCTCTCTACAGTCGATTGACACTCTGTCTTCCAGGAAGGTATCTTCTTTAAGGAGCTGTCGCCTGCCTATCCTGAACCTGACTGTGGTGCATTTCCCGAGGGTATGAAACTCCCTGGACCACCAACTTGCAAAATGCTGTAGATGTTGAGAGAGAACTAACTACAACATGAATAATAATATTCCTGTAAGTTAAAAGGGTGACAACCCTATGCTTTCAATAACATTGACTAAAGACCAGCCAACTGAATTGATCATTAAAACTAGTTTCTGTTGGTCAAGGTGGTACACACCTTTTATCCCAGCACTTGGGACACAGAGGCGAACATATGTGAGTTTGAGACCAGTTTGGTCTACATAGTGAGTACCAGGCCAGTCAGGACCATGTAGAGAGACTCTGTCTCAAACATAGAAGAAGGAAGAGGAGGAGGAAGAGGAAGAAGAAGAAATATAAAATAAAATAAAAGTTTTCAATAATAGATAAATCTATGGTGAGACATTTAATTAAGAAAGAGTCTAAGGAAGCCCAGAATGGTGCACACCTATAATTCTAGTACTCTGTGAAAGCAGGAGGTCACAAGTTCATGGCCGACCTGAGCCACATAACAAGACCGTGTCTAAAAAACAACAATAAAAACACTATGAAAATAATCAAGAAAATTTACTCTGAACACTGTGCTATGTGGCTAGCAATAAATAACTTCTCTTCATAAATGCATTAACTAATAAAAGAAAACACCAACCCACCAATTCCATCAAAGAAAGAATTTTCATAAGTCCAATAATTGACAAATGGGATTAAATGCAACTAAAAAGCTTCTACACAGCAAAGAAAATGGTCACCAGAGTGAGGAAGGAGCCTGCCCAGTAGGAAAATGTTTATCTCTGAACGCCAGACCTGGCATTTATAGCTAGAATTTTCACTACCTGGGGGCCAGCCTCCAGCAGCGCAGGGCTCAAAGGGAATCCACAGAGTCAGCGCTCACTATGACTTTTTTTTTTAATCTGGGGGAGTGAGGGGAAAGACTCACACACTCTCTTGATGGTTTCCTTCAGATCTTTTCTTTATTCTTCTTTTGCATTCTCTATTCTTTATTTTCCTGGTAATTTCCTTCTCTCATTCTTGATGTTCTCCTTCTAACTCTATTTAACTCCATCTTAATTCTTTCCCTTACAACTTATATACACCAACAGGCAATATAAAAATTACAATGTGTTTACTTTCTGTTTTTCAAGTGAATGATTACAATGAATACAAGTAAAAAAAAAACAGCATGTTTTCCATATCCCTTACATGATTAAACATTTTACGTATTACAGGTGAAAAAACAAGTTATCCCAAGAACTCGTGTACATTCATACACAAGCAACTTGTTATAGATTAAGAGTATGTAAGCAAGCAGGATATTCTTTTACTGGCAGGCTGCATTTTGTGGTTACAAAGAAAGGACCAATCACATTATTACTTATCTTGAAAGGTAATTTTATGAGGAATCTTAAAGAAATCATAAATATAAACTTTTACAAATGAAAAAGAATCAGTCAGCTTTACTTTAAATCTCTGGAGTACATACCCATTCATCAAAGTTTTTTATATCAGGAGGATGAGGGCAAAATGAGTACAAGGAATTAATCATCATCATTGATCACAAACCAATCCTAGCAAGGAAAGTATGTCAGTTAATAATAATTGGGCTGGTTTGTATTTGATCCCTGGCCTTAATGAGTTCCTCATTCAACTATGTAACTTTCTAAAACTTTAGATTATCTTTTTGGGGTTTTCACCTCAAAGCTATTTGACAAAAACATCTTAGTCTAACTTTAAGTTATTTTCAAAGCTTTGCTTCAGCTGTGATGCACTCAAAACCTGTAAACACATCTCCCAACATTAAGGTTAGAAGAATTTAAACTAGCTGGGCTACTGGGACTCAACTGTTTTTCTTAATCATTAATCTAAGCCACAGTCTATATTGCTCTTCAATAGAAACTCATGTGTTCTAGCTGTGTGACACTGCCTTGTTTTATTTTTTATTATCAAAACTCTATTTAAAGGTCGGGCGGTGGTGGTGCACGCCTTTAATCACAGCACTCGGGAGGCAGAGCCAGGTGGATCTCTGTGAGTTCGAGGCCAGCCTGGGCTACCAAGTGAGTCCCAGGAAAAGCGCAAAGCTACACAGAGAAACCCTGTCTCAAAAAACCAAAAAACCAAAAAAAAAAAAAAAAAAAAAAAAAAAACCTCTATTTAAACTAATGTTATTATTGTCAATTAGACAGTACAGGTCAGGGAGAAAATCATCTTTATAATAATCCACAGGTAAAGTGCCCAGTAGAAAGGGATGTTCCCATGAGATAAACACACTACATCACAGGCAGCAGGGATCTCCCCCACCCATTCACACCACACCAGAGACCAGGGAACGTTGGCAGTAGTAAACATGTAAAGGTACAGAGAACCACAGGACATTCTGGAGTCTGTGGTCTCGGGGCCTTGCCTATCGGGCATCAGGGAGTTGCCTCTGGCGGGCTGACAGCTGAGCTTCAGTCGCATCTGCTGTTCCTCTGACATGGCCACCAGCATAGAGTACTAGAGTACACAAAGAACTGCAAAAACTAAACAAAAAATCCAAGTCATTTAATTAGTAAGTGAGCTATTGAACTGAATAGACAGTTAAAAAACAAACAAACAAGAAACCAAATGGACAATAAATAATGGAAAGTGTTCAATATCCTTAGCCAACAAGGAAATACAAATTAAAGCTGTTTTAAGATTCCATCTCAAGCCTAATCAGAGTGACTATCACCAAGGAAACACATGGCTACAAATGCCGGTGAGGATGTGTGTTGGGGAAGGGACCACTTTTGCAAGGCTGTTGGGAATGTGAACCAGACAGGTCCACATACTACAGAGACATTGGCACATTTATGTTTATTACTGCACTGTTCCCAATAGCCAAGAAATGGAAGCAGCCTAGATGTCCTTAACACATGAACGGATAAAGAAAATGTGCCTCATATGCACATGAATCATTTGAATTTTTACAGCCATGGAGAAAAATGAAATCATGACATTTGCAGAAAAATAGACGCATCTGGAAAAACATTGTGTTAAGCAAAATAAGCCAGATTCAGAAAGACAAATCCCATGCTCCCCTCATACGTGGAGCCTAGATTTAAGAGTATATGTATGCATATATGCAAGTACATATTTGTGTGTATATGTGTGTGCAGGTCATGAAAGTAGAAAAGGACTCATAGGAGGAGAGCAGAGAATCTAGGGGAGTGGGAAATAGGTAATGGAGCACATTAATAAGAAAGTAGAAGAAGAAAGAACCATCTGGAAGGGGGAAGGACACAGGAAGAGGACAGTGGAGGAGGGGAGAATGAGAACCAAGTATAGTGACACATGATGTCTGAAGACACCACGTTGAAACCCACTCCCAAACCAACTAAAGTAAATCTGTGTCATATCAAAAGGGAGCAATTGCCAGTACCAGCTTACCTTGATGCTTAATGATTGCTCTTTAAAAATGCATGCTATTTTAGTCAACTGCACACTAAAAATAATTTGAAGACTAACTCAATCGCTGCAAAGCCAATTAACACTCGGAGTCTTACAGGTCTCAAGAGAAAAGTCATTCATTTTGACCATCATATAGCCGTTCTTGTCCAGACAAGTACAAAAAGACACTCAAGAAAAATCTTTGAAGCGTAAAATGCATTATTTTAGACTTACCTGAAAATATGTGTCCAAGAAGAAAGGGGAAAACTATAAAGTTCCACCCTGTTCAAGAAGAGCTTGTTCGTGTATTTTCAAAAGGATGACAGTGGGTGGCAGGTCACCCTGGCACGCAGTTTCTAGTGCAAGTATTGAAACGAGCATGGTAACAATTTTCTTTAAAATGTTTAATATTTAAGATACACCAAAAATGACATCCTTTAAAAATATCCAAACTTACAAGAAATAATTTTAGGTATCAATTTAAATGTGTGAAGCTAAGTACTGTACAATGTCAATTGTGTGAAAATCTAGAACAGACCGCAAAAGAAAGCCAGAGCAAGGCTGCCTCCCAGAGATGTGGGGCCACAGACGTCCTGGGAAGGAGCACACGGAAATTCTGTGACGGTGGTGATGCTCTGTGCCCTCTGCCCTAAAATGGTTTGGATATTTGATGAGCGCTATCAAATGACGTACCTAAAGCCTACAATTTAGAGGTTAATTTTATTAGGGAAAACCAAAACATAAGCAAATGTTTGGGCTCTAATGTCTCTATGCTAGAGATTGGGGTGAAACACTTGGAATGCTGAATGAGTAAGAGATTGCCCGGGGGACAGCTGTGTAGATAGTAATAAAACCAAGACGGGATGTTTACTGGGGAACCTAGGAGGTGATGAGATGGTGCTTGACGCCCAATATTTTGACTTTGCCGTATATCTGAAAAAATACTCATAACAAAATATTTCGGGGAATGGGCAAGAGGAAATATTTTTCCATAGTTATTTTTAGCGCATGTCTGAGACAAGTTAAAGCTGATGATTGGGGAACTCTCACCTTAATCTTACAGCACAAACCTCCCTCCAGTATCCCAATCATATTTCCCACCAGATCCAAAATTCAGCAGATTCAAAACTGAATTTATTGTCTTCCCTCTATCAAGTGGAACCATTTCAGCTCCCAGTAACAGGCACAGAGTTCAACACAAGCATGA